TTCAAAATATCAACTTCACCATCATGGATTCAAGCGCTGCACACAGTCCTGTGTTTCTGGTATTTCCTCCGGAGATCATAGCTCCAGAAGTTTCAACAACAGAACTTTCAGCCAAAACCTATGGGACTCAAAACCCCTTGCAAAAATTTTTTACTACAAAAATGAGAATCTTCGGGGTAAGATTTGTCCTCATGTGTATTCTACTGAGGCAGGAAAAAAAGATTTTGAAAAATACCTGTTGGCACATGTGTTGAGATAGAAGCCAATTCCAACTTTGATTTCTATTGAATTCAGGAAGTATGGATAACATTTCTATACCATTTATGTACAAGATTCTGTAGAGAGAAAAATATAAGACAAGTAAGCCAAGGTTCTTAAGTTCTTAAAGGTCACAATCCCCAAATTGACCAGCTATGAGATTTGACAAGTCAAGTTTAGAGGGGAAAAAAACAAAACAAAACAGAAGTCAATAAGTCAGACTCTATATCCTAGATTATTGCATTCTAAAGTTTTCTATTTCCCCAATAAAAATAACAGAATTCATAGTTGACAGCATAACATGGTGCTTTTATCTATGGTGTTTTTGTAGGAATATTTTCTTAATACCATAAGTGCTCATCTCTCCATTGATTCATTGACCTAGTCCATAAATATTAATTTTATTTTATTTACCAATTCGTCCTTAAGACAATGTGAATGAATATGAAGTATTAGTGGAACATTCAAGTGAAGATATTTGACAAGAACTAAAAATGTGGCTCTGGTCTTGACAGAAAAAGGTATCATTTAGGACTCACCACTTAAAAGGGATAGTTCCTACTCAGTAAATGAGATTACTCAGACTGAGTAAGTGGACTGAGAATAAAGGAGAGCAGATTGTACACTTATTATACCTTGTATAATTTGCATTTTTTGTATCATTCTCATCAGTCTTCCCTAGAATTATTTGTCAAACCTCTGCTCAGTGTTGCAAAGCACCACAAGTGTGGCACGGGGGAGAGAGAGAAAACATAAACAGAAGAGACAAGGGTGCTTTGGGCCTGGCATGGGGCGTGTGACCATATCTCTACAGACTCAGAAGATTGGTCATCTGCAGAAGGGTTTTTCAGACAGTCCATATCTTCTAGAGGCCCAGCGGGTACAATGATATAGAATTCAGTGCTTCTCAAACTTTATAATCTATACACTAAAGAGTTGAAGAGCTTATTCAGACCCAGATTTCTCAGCCTAACCTGGAGATTCTGTTCAGAAAGTATGGGATAGGGCCTGATAGTCTGCATTTCTAGCTCCCAGGTGATCCTAATGTTGCCAGGACCACATTTTCAGGACCAGGGATTTAGATGGTGTTTACCTACCAGATACAGTGACTAAGAAAGTACCCAGAGAATTATAAATGGATTTTATTACCCTTCCCCTACTTACAATAAAGGGTAATTGCCAAATTATTTCAACTAAAAGAAGGTCACCTAAAGAGAACAAAACTCACCACTTTGCTTTTCCTCACCATGACTTTTTCCTCTATTTACAGGCTATCCAGATCCTGTTTGGAATTATGAACTTTTCTTTTGGAATTGTTTTCCTTTTCACCTTGGTAGAACCATATCCAAGGTTCCCCTTTATATTTACTTCAGGATATCCATTCTGGGGCTCTGTTTTGGTGAGTATGGCCAATCAATTTCAATTTGAAGCCAGGCCAACCCAGGATGTTAGGGAATTCTTAGTTATAAAGTAAGCTAGATTCATTTGTGTCATATGCCTTGAAGAGTCCAAAAACCTTGTGGAAATTATGTGCCCATTAATTCATCAAAGTTACTAATATTCCATCATTGGGTCTTGAAGTTGTTCTTTTGGGAGTATTTTTCCAGGTCTTGAAACTGTTTATAATATGGTTACTCATTCTCTCAAGAAATAGTTACTACTGTAAGCCAGATACACAGAGCAAGGCAATGAGGTACTAAAGGTTAGTAAGACACAAGCCCTTCCTTCAAAGGACTCTCAGTCTAGCAAGAATGAATACATGTAAACAGGTCATTCCAAGGCAGTGTGATAAATGATATCACCGAGGTGCAGGAAGTACTACCTAAGCACAAACAAAGGAGTAATTTACTCTTTAAAGAAGTGGAGAAGTGGGGAGAGTTTCTCAGAAGTACATTTTCAGCTGCCCAGAGGTATTTATTTAATTACACTTAATTCCATTCAACAAACATGAATTTAGCACCTAATTTTGCGATAGAGCATGGGCAGGGGTATGGATTAAGAAAAAAAGTAGTCTCTGGTCTCAAGGTCTCAGTCAAATGAATCGTCAGACAGTTACTCCAGGGTGTGATGAGGAAGGACAGAGGACAGAGGCGGCTTCCACAAGAACGGCCCAGGCAAGACAGGGGGAACGCTGCCTAAAGACATTTCCCACTTGGCCGAAGTTTGAGGGGGTAAGGACACACATGAAGGATGGGAGTAGGGGATGCCGAGGTGTAGGGGGTAGGGATGTCTCGTGGCGTGCCGAGGGAGAAATACAAGTAAAAGCTGAGGTATGAGAGAGTATTTTCTGCAAACTACAAGAGTTCAGCACAAGTAGAACAAGATGGGGCAAGAGAAATACCCATGAAGCTGCTGAAATTTAAAAACAGATGTGTTGTCATCAGATTTAAAATTTCCATTAGACAGTGGTGCTAGCACATCTGACTCACCTCCGTGAAATTTTGGAGGATTTTTAAGAATTAGCTGCGTCCCCATCTCTTGTTCCCGTCAAAGAAAATACACTGGATTCCAATAAGATGAAATCCACTCTTGATGGTTGTCAACTGACCTGACATCAATGTAACATGATATCAAAACTGAGTCCACAATAGCAACACAAGGAAGACAAATGAGCAAACTAAAGCCCAGCATGGTTAAAAAACATTTTCAAGTTCAAATAAATAGCTAAGGCTACAGCAGATTTCCAGTCTAGCGTTCTGTCCACTATGCATTCGTAGACAGTCATGTAAGGTAACTCACCCTTCTTGCTGCCTTGAGGATTGTGTGAACTCGGAAGGAGGCCAAGTAAAAGAAATGTGTAGAAGTCTATTCTGGCAATGGCTCATGCCTGTAATCCCAGCACTTTGGGAGGCTGAGGCGAGAGGATTGCCTGAGCCCCCAGGTTCAAGACCAGTCTGGGCAACATGGTGAGACCTCGTCTCTACAATAAATCAAAAACATCAGCCGGGCATGGTGGCGCGTGCCTGTAGTCCCAGCTAGTTGGAAGGCTGAGGCAGAAGGATCGCCTGAGCCCACCAGGTCGAGGTTGTGATGACCATGAGCGTGCCACTGCACTCCAGCCTAGGCAACAGAGTGAGACTCTAACTCAAAAATAAAAAATAAAAATAAAAAGAAGTCAATTCTGTGAGAATTCCTTAACATCAGCTAGATGTGTCCATCATTAAGATGTTTATTCTTTTTAACAGTTCATTAATTCTGGAGCCTTTCTAATTGCACTGAAAAGAAAAACCACAGAAACTATGGTAAGTTATATTTCCACCTTATTAAAAATTTATGACTTTAAAATAATTCAGCCTCAGCCAGGCTCGGTGGCTCAACCTGTAATCCCGTGCCTTTGGGAGGCTGAGGTGAGTGGATTGCCTGAGCCCGCGGGTTCGAGACCCACCTGGGCAGTGAGACCTCATCTCTACAATAAATCAAAAAAATCAGCCGGGCGTGGTAGCACATGCCTGTAATTCCGGCTACTTGGAAGGCTGAGGCGGAAGGATCGCCGGAGCCCAGCAGGTCAAGGCTGCGGTGGCCAGGAGCAGCCACTGCACTCCAGTCTGGGTTACAGAGTGAGACTCCAACTCAAAAAAACAAACAAATAATAATAATAATAATAATTCAGCCTGGCCTTGAAAATAAGTTTGTAAGATCATTAAGCCACCGTAATTCCACAAACCAAGTTCTGATACCAACCAATGACATTTGCTACCTGTTTTCCTAGATTTATAAACTATCGGTGGCAGAAAAGCACTTATCTCTAGGTCATTCAGCTTAATTTCTTATTTTGTATATACAGATACTGAGGCATAGAATAGTTAAATGGCTTTTCCAAGTTCCCAGCCAATTCATAGTAGAGAAGGCGGTCTCAGTATTCCCATTACTCACTAATTCATTCTGCATTGTTAATATTTACTGCATTCCAGGCATTTTGGCAGGCACTAGTTTGACTCATAGAAAGGCACACTGTAAATAACCTAAGTAAATCACCTGCAGAATCTTGAAATAAAGAATACAATGCTAATGAATGTAAAGTTGCAATCCATAAATAAATTATGAGTGTAAAAGTAGAATATTTTTACTTGACTCAAATAATCAAAGACATAAAATATTAATATACCAATACATGATTTCAACAAAGGATTGAAAATTCTTAGTTTGTCACTTTAGGAAGAAATAAAAATGGCAGAGAACAATGTTCGGTTAAACACAGGAGTCTTACTTACTTACAAAATGTAAGTAGATCATGACTTTTACCAGAGCATCAATCAAAAGGCGAGTGTCCCAGGTACACTCCTGCTCCCAACATTAGCTTAGGCACAGAATATGGGGAATGTACAGGTGGTTAAAAGTTCACCGGATCCTCTCATTCTGCGGATGAAGACCAGAAGCCCACAGAAATGAAGTGACTAGCACATGACACATAGCTTTCTCGTGTCAGTGTGATGCGGTGACTCAAATTCTGCTCTTCGTTCTCTTCACCCATTGTTTTATTGGGCCTGAGTCATCCTGTTACATATGTTCTTATTCTATTTCAGGTAACAATGAGCCGACTAATGAATTTTTTTAGTGCCCTGGGTGCAATAGCTGGAATCAGTCTTCTCATACTTGGTTTCATCCTAGATCGAAACTACATCTGTGGCTATCTTGCAGGAAATAGTCAGTGTCATGCTAATAACACCCTATTCCATGTAAGTATGATGCATTTTTAAAGTGAAGAGTGAATGTTTTCATCAAAAAGACTTGCAAGAGGGGACTCGAAAAATCTGGAATTTATGTATTTAAAAAATTGTGTATTTATTCTTACATGTTTAAACGTCAGTCACTTTCAAAGTACTCTCTGTTTGACACAATATACCTAGTAAGACACTCTTTTCACTGCTCAAAACAGCTTTTGAGTTTGTCCGTTTTGATGTATTTTTCCATGTTTTGGTTTCACGTCTTCCACATCGGCAAACTGTATCCCTTTGAGGATTTTTTTCATCTGGGGAAACAAACAAACAAAAAAGTCGTTGGGAACAAGATTGGAAGAATAGGCAGGTAGGGCACAGAGGTCATGCCAGTTTGGGTCAAAAACTGCTGAACACTCAGCACGATGTGGGCAGGTTCATTGTCATGGTGTTAGAACCAGTCACCTGCCTGCTACAAAAAAATTCATGGACGCCGAATGCAGCCTCTCACAACAATGCTAGCTGGTACACTGATGCCAGTTGGTTCCTAGAACACTTGACCTCGCGGGAGAAGCCTGTACTGCAAGAGGCCTCTCCTCCAAAAGATAATTTAGGTAATTGGGGGTCCCCCTCATATTAGCACTCAGTTAGCTCCACCCAGAAAATGTTTGGATACACATGTATTTTCTTTTACTCACAAATATTTACAGAATTTATAATATTTGGTAGACATTAGGTTAGGCATTGTAAAATAGGAAAACAAACACATTACATTATGAGTCCCACCTTTGGAAAAGATAAAACATGTTCATAAATCAGTGTAATTAAATATAAAGTGATATACTAAAAGAAAAATATAGGTACAGCAGTATGATTGCCGTTCATAGTCCTAGATGTATGTCAGAGTCACAGTGGTGTGTTTCTATGGTTTGGGATTGGGTTTTAATAGTTAGGCTGGGCCAGGCTCAGTGACTCAGCTTGTAAAGCCAGCACTTTGGGAGACCGAGGTGAGTGAATTGCCTGAGTCCGCGGGTTCAACACCAGCCCAGGCAACTTGGCGAGACCTCATCTCTACACAAAAATAAAATTAAAAAAAATTATCCGGGCATGGTAGCACACGCCTATAGTTCTGGCTACTTGGAAGGCTAAAGTGGAAGGATCGCCGGAGACCAGCAGGTCGACGCCGGGGTGCCCGTGAGTGTGCCACTGCATTCTAGCCTGGCAACAGAGTGAGACTCCAACTCAAAAATAAAATAAAATATGCACGTCTTAAAAAGCATGATAGATTGAAAAGAGGCCATTATTTTTGCTCTTTCCAAAGTACCATTAAAATCAGTGTAAAGGAATATAAATGGTTTGAGTCCACATGAAAAAAAAAAAGATAGCCACCCAGCTACATCATGAATTGCTGAGGAAACTGAAAACTAACCATCTAAGGAAAAGAGGGCTCTGATAGAAGATATTCTATATGGTAGATTCTAAGAAACGCTAAGCCTTGAATGCACCAGGTCCACAGAAAGCAGAGGTGAAGAGCCGAAAGTAGGGAGACTGCTTCTGGTGATGGTGAATTGGGCTCTTTGAACCACCTTCTCTGAAAACAGAAAAATGCTACATTAAAAAAAAAAATTGGAATGGAACGCCCAATTTTGTGAAAAGTGAAAAATAAAAAAGAAAACTTTAAAGTCATTAAAAATCTGAAAAGGCAGCTGTGACTACCAGATCCATTTTGAGATGGAAGTCTGTAATCTGATGTAACCTGAGATTCACAAGTGCAATGCTGAAGAGCGCCAAAACTCCTTATGCCCTGAGGCCATTCGCAGTGATGCCTATTTGAAATCTGATGCCTAGTCCAAGTGGAGTGAAAGACAAGGAAGTCAGGCCCAGAGTTCATTCAAGGCAGGAAAACTTAGAACAGACCATCTTCACATTAAACTAGGTCTTTGATAGGCTACTGCACTCCTCAGGGGATGACAACAAAAAAAAGAGAAAAAGCACTTGAGAAATTGCGGCCACAGAACAACCCCTCACCCCCCCACAACCTCCCATCCCCCTCCACCATGGGTCTTTTGATCTTTGGTAGGCATAAACTGGGTGAGCCAAGAATGACCAACCTTAACTTGGCCTTGGGACTTGGTGCCTCTGGCAACTGACAAAAGCAAAGTCAAGGGCTATCTAGGGGAAGAGCATCCAATAATCTCAAGAAAAATCTACCAAATTTCCCACTGGAAAATTAACAATTAGCACAATGCATCAAAAGAGGCATACAAAGAAATAAGACAATCTGAATAACAACCAACAGAGACAAAATGTAGGAGAAACAGAACCACACATAGGTTTCTCATATGAGAAGAGATTTTTTGAAACCACAATGTTTATCATGTATTAAGAAAGACATGATAATCTCTAAAATGTCTGCAGGGAATCGGAAACCATAAAGAGTGAAATAGATTTCCTAAATACAATTATTGTGCCCCCTGCAAATAATTTTTTAATTTAAATTTTTAAAATAAAGATTGTCCCAATTTAAAAAAATAAAATTGCATTCTACTTACAAGAAATATCTACACAAACAAGTAGACTTGACTTAGGGCAAGAAGCATTGTCAAACATAGGATAGGGAACTTTCATAATGATAAAAGGGTCAATCCACAACACAAATATTACAATTCTAGGTTTGAATACTCCTAGTAACTGCTCACAATCAAAAGGGAAAGCTAACACAATTGAAAAATATAAGTAGAGAATACTAAAAATCATCATAAGAAATTTTAGACAACTGAAAGATGTAGAAAGACCTTAAAATTATAGGATTTTAATAACACAATTGACAAAATTTCCCTTAATGTCACATATAGAACTCTGCACCAAATAACTGCAAAATATTGTCAACTGACTTTTTTAAATTGACAGAGAGGTTTACATTGTAGGTATTTATGTGTACAACATGATGTTTTGAAGTATTTACATACATGGTGGAATGCTTAAATCTAGTTTATTAACAAATGCATTACCTCACATACTTATCATTTTTGCAGTGAAAGTTCTTAACGTCCACCTTGCATTTTTCAAGAATACAACATATTGTCATTAACTACTGTTAAACCCAAATTTCAGAATCCGAGAGACCAACAAAGAGCCAGCTCTGATGCAAACACACAAGGGTCTTTATTCAGGCTCGAGTCTGGGCTCACGCCCGAAGCAGTAGCTTCAGGGACGAGAGCCCCGATCCAGCATGGCAAGCAGTTTTTATATAACATTACAGAGGGAGGGGAAAGAACTTTAAACTTGTTTTTACATGATAGGGTAATTTCTCCTAATGGGTACGGGGGCACTTGGGATTGGTCTGGTCCACTCAGCTACCTGTGATTGACGGGGGAGCTGCTAAATGAGCAGAGTGGAATGTCAGCAGGCAAGCTAAGCAAAGGAATGTCCGGGAGGGGTTTATTACTTGACATTCACATACTGCTAGCAGCAGTTGCAGAAGCAATCGGTTATTTTGAGACAAACAAAAATTAAACTTAACAAAACTCTAAGTACAAACACTGCAAACAAATACAGTGAACGTGGGGTAGGAATTCATATAGTAATAGTTCTTTTAGAGTGTTTTTTTTTTTTTTAATCTCTTGGGTCTCTCACTACAGTCACAATACTGTACAATAGACCCCTTAAACTTATTCCTCCTAACTGTAATTAATGGAAGTCAGAAGATAATAGAATGACATTGTTTAAGTGCTAAAAGAAAATAATGCTAACCTAGAATTTTAGGCCTGGTGAAAATGTTCTTTAAAAATGAAAGTGAAAAAAATGATAACTGACAAACAGAAATTGAGAAACTTCACACAGAAGATTTAACAATTAACCATATAATGAGCATTCAAGTCTCAACAAAATTCAAAGGATTAAAATCATACATAGTATGTTCTCTGAATACAATGAAACTGAACTAAAATCAATTTTTAAAAAGGTAAAAAATTTTCAGACTGCTTGGAAACTGTAAATTATGCAAGGCACAAAAAAGAATTTACAATAGAAATAAAAAATATATTAAAAACAAAATGATAATGAAAATATTCATACCAAATTTTATCGTATGCCACCAATGTATACTTAGTGGAAACTTTATAGTTTTAAATGCAAGTAAAGGGAAAAAACACTAAAAAATGAGTTATCTAAGTATTCATATCAAGAAATTAGGCAAAAATGTTAAAGACAATGAAAGAATCAAGATATCAAAGATGAAATAAAAATGAATGAAATATAAAGCAAACAGACAAGACCAATAAGGCTAAAATATGGATGTTTGAAGGACTAATAAAATGGATAAATTCCTTATAATTAATCAAGGGAAAAGAAAAAACAAATTATCAGGATCTAACAAGGGTACATTACTACAAATATAAGAGGATATTATGAACAATGCTATAAAAATAACTTGATGCTTTAGATAAAATTGACAAATTCCTTATAAAACCCACCTACCAAAACTATGTCAAACCCACCTGCCATAACCAATACAGAAAAAAATCTGATTAGTCTTATGTCTAATAAAAAATCCAATCCATAATTTAAAACTTTCTCTCAAAAAGTAAATAAAAGCAAAACATCCATGAGTATACTAATTCTTCCCAATATTTAGAAAAGAAATAACACCAAACTTGACAGATACTTTCAGAAAATAGAAAGAACACGTCTCAACTGACAAGTATTTTTGTGAGGCTGTCAAAATTTGACACTAAAATATGATAAGAACATTATAAAATATAAGAAAGTTAAGGACAATTCTATCTTGCAAACTTTGAGCAGAAATCTGAAACAAAATATTAGAAAATCATATTCAGTAATATTTACATGATAATCTATCATGTCCAAGTCAGTTGATACCAAAAGTACACAATTGGCTTCTCATTTAAATATCAATCAACAATAGACCTAAATGTGAAAACTTAAACTATAAAGCTTGGTGAGAGCAGAAAGTTGGGGGAAGAATTTAGAAGAATATCTTCATGACCTTGGGAGTAGGCAAAGCTTTCTTGGTAGAACACAAAACGTACTAACTACAGAGAAAAAAATAAATAAAATAAAATGCACAACTTCAAATTTTTTTCAAAAAAGAGTAAAAGAAATAAGCAAACTAAAACCAGTTCTTTTTTTTTTTTTTTTTTGATTCAGAGTCTCACTCCTTCGCCCAGGCTGGAGTGCAGTGGCATGCACGCTCATGGCCACAGCCACCCCAGCATCGACTTGCTGGGCTCCAGCTATTCTTTTGCCTCAGCCTTCCAAGTAGCCAGAACTACAGACATGCACTACCACGCCCGGTTATTTTTTATTTTATTGTAGAGACGAGGTCTCGCCAAGTTGCCGGGGCTGGTCTCGAACTCTTGGGCTCAGGCAATCCACTCTCCTTGTCCTCCCAAAGTGCTGGGATTACAGGCTGAGCCACCAAGCCCAGCTAAAACCAGCTCTTTAAAGAAAATGAAAAAGGTACAGAAAGGGAGAAAAATCCCTCATACACATATCTCACAAAAGACCCATATCCAGGATATATTAAGCACTCTCAAAAATCAATAATAAAAAAGCAGGCCGGGCTCAGTGGGTCAGCCTGTAATCCCGCACTTTGGGAGGCAGAGGTGAGTGAATTGTCTGAGCCCACGGGTTCAAGAACCACCTGGGTGACTTGGCAAGACCTCATCTCTACAATAAATCAAAAATTAGCCGGGCGTGGTAGCGTTCACCCGTAGTTCCAGCTACTTGGAAGGCTGAGGCGGAAGGACTGCCAGAGCCCAGCAGGTCCAGGCTGCAGTGGCCAGGAGCGTGCCCCTGCACTCCAGTCTGGGTGATAGAGTGAGACTCTGACTCAAAAGAAAAAAGTAAAAATAAAAAATAAAATAAAAAAGCAAAAAAGCATGAGTCAGACTTGAAAAAGCACTTTGCAAAGGTATCAGAGTAGCTAGTGAGCATATAAAAACACACCCAACATTATTACTCATCGGATAAATGCAAATTAAAAGCACAATAAAAACTCACTGCACACACACCAGACTGATTTTAATTAAATAGACTGGCATTACCAAGAGTTGGAAGAAAGGTAAAACAACTATAATTCTTATACCTTTTTGGTGGGAGTGTAAGATGGTTTAACCACCTTGGGAAAACTATATGTCAGTTTTAAACAAAGTTAATCATACACCCACTTTATGTCTCATACTATATATGAGAATTTAAATTTCTATCAACAGCAGAATGTCTAAACAAATAATAATTTTTCAAATCATAAAATATCTCTCTGCCATAAAAAAGAACAGCTTACTGATATATGAAGCAACATGAATGCATTTCAATCCATTATATTGAACAATTTCAGATACAAAAAAATGAACCGGCAAATTTAACAAATGTTAGAAATTGGAAAAGTGGTTGACTCTCACTGAGGTGGAAAGATTGACTGGAAGGGGACACAAAAGAACTTACAGAGGTGATGAAAATGTGATAAATATTGATCTGGAAAGAAAAACAAAGTTCACTTCTTTATATATAAATCTTGGTATGGAAAAAATATTTTTAAAGCAGATAACAGCAGCGTTTTAATGTTTTTATATACACTGTACATATAACTGACAAGAAAAAGTCAAGGACGCAATAACAAAAGACAGAATATGAGGAAGGAATTTACAAAAAAGCAACTCTAATGGCCAAACATACTTATGCCGTAATGCTCAAAATCAATAGTAGTCCAGGGATGTGCCAATTAAATTAACAATAAACGAATATCTACATTCATTAGACTAGCAGAAATTAAAGAGCTATAACACACGTCGCTGGCACTTATCACTGGTGAAAAGAATGCTCTTGTGCATCAGCAGTGGAAACGTGAAATGTCACCATTTTGGAAAGTAAGGAGACAACATTTACTTATCTGAAAAATACACATAACCTTTAACTCAGATCTCAATCTCATAGCAATTAAACCACTTACATACAGATGTACATGTACAAGAGTGCTACCGCAGCATTGTTCAGAGTGGCAAAACAAACACACACACCACGGAAAATGAGGAGGAAAGAGTAGTTCCCGTCACAAAAGAATGCATGAAGGACAGCTAATTACACTGTGAGATATTACGTGGCCAGTAGAAACCATGTGGCTCTAAAATAGATAGCTATTCAACCTACAATCAAAATACAACAGACCCATCTGACTACACAACAGAACGTGAACCATATTAACCTTTGCAACCTAAGTATAAAGTGCAGCTCTCACAAGATTGCAAATCTTTTATTTATTTATTTATTTGTTTGAGTTGGAGTCTCACTCTGTCACCCAGACTGGAGGGCAGTGGCATGCTCCCGGCCACCGCAGCCTCGACGTGCTGGGCTCCGGCGATCATCCGCCTCAGCTTTCCAAGTAGCCAGAACCACAGGCGCGTGCTACATGCTAATTTTTTATTTATTGTAGAACTGAGGTCTCACCAAGTTGCCCAAATGGGTCTCGAACCCACGGGTTCAGACAATCCACTCGCCTAGGCCTCCCAAAGTGCTGGGATGACAGACTGAGCCACCGAGTCTGGTCAAATGACAAATTTTAACTGGTATAGCACTAGTGTCCAGCCTCTGGGTCACTGATGAAGCATGTATCTCTCTCTGTGCTCTTAGTTGCCAAAATACAAAAAACCACTTTAAATGTCTTTTGCAGTGATAAATGGAACACAAGGTGGTATTCCTGCCCTAGGCTGCTTCTTAAGTCTTTTTTCTGGACTTTTCTCTTTTTCTGGGCTTATCGTTTTTTATTTTTCCTTCTTTTTCTTTCTTTTTATAAGTTTGCTTCTTTCATCCATTTCTTCACCTTCTTTATTTCTCCTTCATAGGCCATTTCTAAATACGCACTTTTTGTATTTTATATATTTATCAAACAGAGTACTCCTACATATAATTTAGAAAGTGTATTATTTTATAGGACTTTCTCTAAGAAAATAATGTGCTAAAGCAGCTGTAGACTCCCATGATCCTCCACCAACTTGACTCCTAAGAATCAGATACACTTGAGAGACGGGGGCGGGGGGGATGCACAGAGCTTTTATCACCTGGGCATTACTACCTCACTGTAAACAGAGAAGCCATTCCTGTGCTAGCGTCATGCCTCTTCACCTGTTCTCTTCTTCTGTTACAGGGAATTTTGATTATGTTGATGATCTTCAGCATTATTGAGTTGTTCATTTCTCTGCCGTTCTTCATTCTGGGTTGCCACAGAGACGACTGTGATTGTAAGGGATTGTGTTGAATGGCAGTAAAGAAATAAAGACACGGAATGATATTATTTAGAGATGAATTTTGCTTATGAGAAAGACACAGAAGAAACATAGAATCTGAAGACAGGTAACTTGTGGAAGCCAAAGGGAGCTACTTGCGGGAGGGGGTTCTGGGGACATTTTGACAGAGAAAGTACATCGTGTCTCTGGGCGAGGCCATCCTGTCCTCTCCCCAAATTGAATGGTCACCTTAGTGTTGCCACCTGTGTTAGCCATGCATTCTTTCAACTAAAAGACAACAGTGTGGTGTTACAAATGCACCAACTGATGCCGAGGGCCTGGGGTGACCCAGCCATCTAACTTCTCTGGCTCATGACATCTGTGGTTTTCTCCAAGAGACTTCCACACAGTGGGGCCTTCTCCATCGTTGTGTGGAAAGATGAGGTTGTTGGAAGCATGGTTTGGTCCACAAATCTGATATTAATGCTGCAAGATCATCATCGTTAAGAGCTGATCAACTAGAATAGTGACAATAGTGAAAATAATGAGAGCAAATATTGGTGGAGCCACTATCAAGCATCATACCACATTTTATATGGGTGGGCTACTCATTTAATCTTATAAAAATCCTAAGAGGTGGGCCAGGCATGATGGCTCACGCCTATAATCTCAGCACTTTGGGCAAGAGCATTGCCTGAGCCCAGGGGTTCGAGACCAGCCTGGGCAACTTGGTGAGACCTTGTCTCTACAATAAATAAAAAAATTAGCTGGGTGTGGCAGCGTGCGCCTGTAGTTCCAGCTACTTGGACGACAGAAGCAGAAGGGTTGCCTGAACCCAGCAAATCTAGGCTGTGGTGCCCAGGATCGTGCTGCTGCACTCCAACCTGGGCC